GTGGCGGCGTGGGCGAGGGCGAGGGCGAGGTGAAGGCTGCGGATATTGATGCAAAGTCGACTTTGGATTCGATTCGAACGCAAGCAGGGGGGCGGGCGGGGCGCGGCCGAGACGAGACGTCCAAGGAGCGATGAGCGACGGGATGGATTCGGTCGGATCGATGTTGTGAGCGGGTGGTCCGGTTTGGCATTCGTTGTTTTGGCGTGGGATGCAGAGTCGGGCTTTTTGGGGGAGGGGAGCGAGGGCGACCGTGTATTTCGGATGAATCCAATTTCTTTCGAGGGTGCGCATCCACGGCGGTGGGGGCGGCACGAGGCGATGCGGCGATGCGGCCCAACGCAAGCACGATCGACCGGCCGAGCGTGCAAGAGAGGCTGAGCCAAAGTTGGCGAAAGGGAGAGCGCGGGATGAGCTCGTGGGGTTGGTTTGGATTAGGCTTTGCCAGCCATGATGCCGCTGCCTCTCTGCGCCTTCCGCCAGGCTTGCCTCGCTCTATTCACCTCGGGTCCTGACAATGACATTGTACTCTCGATGCGCACCTCGCAATCTTTGCTGTCATTGCACCAATACACAGACGAGCACAGTGACATCTGAACTCGGTGTTGAATGAAGCGGAACCTTGGGCTGATGAGCAGCGTCAGAAGTGCGATAGTGCCAGGTCGAGGGCAGATGACATCGGGTCATGGATTGGAGGCGAACGGCCCGGGTACTTTGACCCGTCCGAGTGGGGATGCACTCAGCAGACGGCCCAGCTGGTGCCAGCAGGCTGATTCAAGCTCTCGCTCGACTTTGCCCGGGTCGAAAGCGGTTCGCGTAGCGTAGCCCGGACGTTCGTCACACGGGTGTCTTTTGAACGCAAAATCGCCACCAAGGAGAGCTCAGTCGTGTCGTGGCCTGAACTCTGTAAAGGGCCGCCTTAGCGCGATCGAGCGCGAGATGACCGTCTCTCTGCAGCGCCGTAGCAAGTGCTGGAGGCCGTCGTTGTCGAGCTTAAGCCTCTCAAAGTCCAGGCGGGCGCGTCGCCCAACGTCCATGCCGCTGCCTCTTCAGCCCAGCCAGATGGCACCCGCACCGGCTTCATCCTTTGTCTGGCTGCGCAGTTCTGCTACTGATGAGCCGATGACATCTACCGCCCTCTTGCGGAAGGGGCGGCGCAGACGATCCAGGCAAGGATCGAGCAGAGGTAGGCACGATTCTCGGAGGATTGGCCGGTACGGGCAGGCGAGCGGCAGCGCAGTCTCGGCGCAGGCACCGCGCATCCATTCGGCGGGTTGGCTTGGATCGGCAAGCATGGATGCCGCACCTGTGCAGCGCGAGCAGCTGACACCGGCGTGCGGCCGCGCTTGGATCCAACCAAAGTCGAATCTGGAGGCACTGCATCAGTGTCACAGCAATTTTATTTAATTTTTTCAGGCAGGCTTTGACGTGGCGCACGCTTGCCTGGTCGCGAGAGGGAAAAAAAAGGCGGGGTCCGCCGAGACGGGAAAAAAACTCCGTGACACGGATCAAAGCTCTGAGTCGCGTGCGCTGGACCCTCTTGAGCCCCTAACCGTTGGACCTAACAGGTCGTCGGATCGAAATCGCAGACACCGACGATGCTATCTACTGTATCCTTTCTGCGCAGGAAGGCGCGGGATAGGCAGCCTCGGCCGATAAGAGAATACAGCCGGAGCGGTCATGAAGGAGTCTGAGACCGCATGTGGGCCTCGGAAACGGCCCGTCTTGCTTCGACCCCGCCTACTGTACACCTTTACGCCCCGTTAGGCCATCTCGTTGCTCGTCACAGCGTAAAAGTCACAGCATGAGAAAGCGTCCGTCTGCAGTCGGAGATCTGCGTCTCTGGCTCAGAATGACCGCTTTGCCCGGCGGCTACGCCGTGGCTGCTGAGCTTCACGCTTGCTGGCGCGCCAGCGCGTTGATCTGCATTCTGCGTGAACGTCCTGGCGGCGAACTCTCAGTGTCTCTGCTGTCATGCTCATTGCGATGATTCAAGCCGCTCTATGGCTCCACGGCTCTGCAAACTCTATGGTCAGGATGTGACTGGCAGCGACTAGAGCAAAGCATCGAGAAGGCTTGAAGGGCCGAGGTGGCAGCGGCAGCGGCGCGCGTGGTACGAGGCGCCGCTTTGCCGAATTTGTTGATTGACCCTTCTTTGACGTGAAGCGATCTGCCTCTTGCCTTGTCGGAGTCACGCGCGGCAGCTGGAGGGGGCCCATTTCGACTTTCTTTTCTGGGATTTTCAGCTATTTTTCGCCAGAATCGGCCAGCTCGCCTGTGTTGAGTGTTGAAAAAGGGACGCATGATTTAGGGATTTGGCAGGCGCGCGCGCAGCCCAGGCTTCGATGCGCGGACCCAGGAGCAGAAGCCTGCAGCCGTCTGCGCGCGGAGGTGTCGCTGGCCAAACAGAGCTCGCGCCGCCACGCCGCCCTGGAAGCCTTGGCACACTGGCCCGACGCGCGTCGCTCCGCCTCCGTGTTTACACTCGCCTCTCGCCTTGGCACCGCAGGCGAGTTTCAATTCTCCGCCTGCCTTCACGTAGATCCTCTCTCGCAATTGACCGTCGTATCCATGGATGCCGGCTCGTCTCACAGCATCTGCAGGCTCCAGGATGCGTGAGCTCGTGACCATTGCGATGTAGCGTCACTTTCGCGGCTCAGTCGAAGACCGAGAGATGGGATGTTGGAGCGTTGGCGGTCACCGGCCAAACAATTGCCAACGACCGCAACAGGAAAAAAAAAGAAAAAAAGGTGGCATCAAAATGGAGGAGGCAAAAAAAGAAGAAGAAAAAGGGACAGCTGACACTCGTCAGCAGCTAAGCTTCACCACTCTTCCAGGGACACGAGAGAGCATTCATCGCTCGCCGTCTCCTACACCGCCCCTACTGCTTTCGAAGTGAGGTCAACTGCGTGATATGGGCGAAGCAGCGGGAAGATGTGCCGAGGGGAAACGGCAGAATTGATCCCGCATCGGGCTGCAAACAGTGGAGCGTAAATTTCGAAGTCGACTCAAATTTGGATTTCAGATCGGGACGTCGAGCTTGAATGCACGCGTAAACACCGACTTGAAGGGCCAACGAGTCGGAAACGTGGCGAGGCGAGGAGGATCAGGCGGCCGCGCGCATCGAGGGCCCGATGAGCTGCTCTCTCTCTCTCGCCTCTGCCCCGGCAAACGGACAGCACTGAGCGAGGCAGGCAGGCAGAGGGGCGGCTGCAGACCCAACAGCCTCCGAGCTCAGCCCCTCCGGTCGCCATCACAATCCGCCATCCGCCATCTGGTTGCCTACTTGCTGATCTCCACCATCCGCTTCCTCCTCCCGTCCATTACGCCGCCCTATTCCGACATCCATACGCAGAGCTCATCCAGCACGACGCAGAGACCGCCGCCACCTTGCATACACAACCCCGACAACCATCACCTTGTCGGCAAGCTGCCCTCCACTTTCGGCTGCATAAGCCTCGACAGCAGCTGGACGCCGCTTAGCAGACGGGATACTGCCATCAACACAAATATCGACTCTCGCATGCACAGTGCGCAGCTGACTGTAAACAGCACCGAACAGTGCCAGCAGCTGCACCGAGGCAACTCGCTTGCATAACCGGAAACGGACGTCTGCAGCATTGGCCATCCCGGTCGGCGCCGTCAGCCCATCCCACCGCAGATCAGAAGCTTTCCGGCTGGACCTCGCTGAATCGTGGCCTACGACCTGCTCCTCCTTCCGAGCCCCATCGCGATCGAAACATCTAGACACATCAGTCACGGCACGCTTGCAACAGCCGAGACTCAGCGTGGGAGCCCCCCCCCCCCCCCCCCCCCCCCCCCCCCCCCCCCCCCCCCCCCCCCCCCCCCCCCCCCCCCCCCCCCCCCCCCCCCCCCCCCCCCCCCCCC